CACGCACACACGCACACACACACACACACGCACACGCGCGCACACAGACACACACACACACGCCCGCACACGCCTGCATGCAGGCACGCAGGCACCCACGCACGCACGCACGTACAAAAACACGCACGCACGCACACACGCACACGCGCACGCACGCACGCACGCGCACGCACGCACACACGCACACACTCACGCATGCACACACTCACGCATGCACACACGCGCACTCACGCACGCGCACCCATGCACGCACACGCACACATGCACACACGCACACATGCATACAAAAACACGCATGCACGGACGCAGCGCACACGCATGCACGCACGCACGCACGCACGCACCCACACACACACACACGCACACGCACACGCACACGCACACGCACACACCACGTGCGCACGCACGCACACGCACACGCACACGCACACGCATGCACGCACACAAACACGCACGCACACGCGCACACACGCACACACGCACACGCGCACACGCGCACACACGCACACACATACGCACACACACATACACACGCACACACACACACACGCACGTACGCACACCTGCTCGCACACACGCACGCACGCACGCACGCTCACACGCATCCACTCACACGCGCGCACGCACGCACACACGGACACACGCACGCTCACACGCACGCACGCGCACACGCACACACGCACACACGCGCACGCACACACGTACGCACACACGCACGCGCACGCACGCACGCAAGCACGCACGCACGCACGCACGCACACACGCGCACACGGACACACCACACACACGCACACACGCACACACACGCCACACACACGCACGCACGCACGCATCGCACACACACGCGCCACACGCACACACGCACACAAGCACACACACACGCACCCACGCACGCAAGCACGCACGCACGCACGCACACACGCACATACAGACACACGCACGCACGCACGCACACACGCACACATGCACACACGAACACACGCACGCACGCATACACGCACACACACACACACACACACGCAGGCACACATGCACGCACACACGCACACACACGCACGCATGCATTCACGCACGCACGCACGCAGGCACGCACATACCCACACGCACGCATACACAGGCGCACACACGCACGCACGCACGCATGCAGGCACGCACACGGACACACACACGCACGCTTATACGCACACGCACACACACACTCACGCACACCGCACACATGCACAGACGCACACACGCACGCACGCACGCACGCAACACACATACACACACCACGCACCACGCACGCAAGCACGCACGCACGCACACACGCACGCATGCATTCACGCACGCACGCACGCAGGCGCAGCACACGCACGCACGAACACACGCACGCACGCACGCACACATGCACTCACGCACGCACGCACGCACGCACACACACACACACACACGCACACATACACACATACGCAAGCACACCCACGAACGCACACACACACACACCTTGCACCCACACGCACACATACACACGCACACACGCACACGCATACGCACGCACACTCGCACGCACGCACGCACGCACGCACGCACACACGCAAACACGCACGCACGCACACGCACGCACGCACACACGCACACGCACGCACACGCACACGCACACACGCAGACACGCACGCACACACACACGCACGCACGCACGGACGCACGCACACACACACGCACACGCACATATGCACATACGCACACACACACACACGCACACACACAAACACGCACGCACGCGCAGGCGCACACACACACACGCACGCACACACACGCGCACACACGCCCTTCACGCACACATGCACAGACGAACACACGCACGCACGCACGCACGCAGGCACGCACACGGACACACACACACACACACACACGCACACACACACACACACGCACGCTTATACGCACACACGCACACACACACACACACACGCACCGCACACATGCACACACGCACGCACGCACGCACGCACGCGCACACGCACACACCACGCACGCACGCACGCACGCAAGCACGCACGCACGCACACACGCACGCATGCATTCACGCACGCACGCACGCAGGCACGCACGCACACGCAGCACGCACGAACGCACGCACGCACATATGCACCCACGCACGCACGCACGCACGCACGCACACACACACGCACACATACACACATACGCAAGCACGCACACGAACGCACACCACACACACACACCTTGCACCCACACGCACACATACACACGCACACACGCACACGCATACGCACGCACACTCTTGCACGCACGCACGCACGCACGCACGCACACACGCAAACACGCACACACACACGCACGCACGCACGCACGCACGCACGCACGCACGCTGAACGCACACACGCACGCACGCACACACGCAAACACGCACACACGCAGACACGCACGCACACACGCACGCACGCACGAACGCACGCACACACGCACATACGCACACGCACACGCACACACACACGCGCACACACAAACACGCACGCACGCACGCACGCACGCACGCACGCACACACACACACACACACACACACACGCGCGCGCACACACACGCTCACGCACACACACACACACATACACACGCACACGCACACGCGCACGCACGCATGCAACCACACACAACACACACACACACGTACTCACGCATGCACACGCACACACGTACACACACACGCACGCGCGCACACACTCGCATACACGCACACACGCACGCACGCAGGCATGCAGGCAGGCAGGCACGCACGCACGTACAAAAAAACGCACACACGCACGCACGCACGCACGCACGCACGCACGCATGCACGCACACGCACACACACAGACGCACACACGCACGCAAGCACGCACGCACGCACACACTCGCGCACACAAGCGCACACCACACACGCACGCACGCACGCACGCACGCACGGACGAAAATACGCACGCACGCACACACGCACGCACGCACGCACGCACGCACACACGCACGCACGCACGCACGCACGCACGCACACACGCACGCACACACGCGCGCGCGCCACACACACACACAAGCACACGCCCCGCCCGCCCGCCGCCCGCCCGCGCGCGCACGCACGCACGCACGCACGCATGCACGCAGCACGCACGCACATTTACGCACACACACACACACAAGCACACGCACACACACGCGCACACACGCACACGCACGCCCTCACGCACGCACACACACACACACACGCACACACACACACGCACACACACGCACTCATACACACGCACGCACGCACGTACGGACACACGCACACACACGCACACATACGCACGCACGCACGCACGCACACACACACGCACACACCACACACGCACTCACGCACACACACGCACACATACACGCACGCACGCACGCACGCACACACGCACACACACGCACACATACGCACGCACGCACGCACGCACGCACGCACGCACGCACACACACATACATACACACGCAGACGCACGCACGCACACGCACGCACACACGCACGCACGCGCGCACATGCAGTTTCACGTAACTGTTTTCCATAACAAGGGAAGCTACACCGAGCGGCCGAGGGCCGAGGGCCGAGGCGGCCAGCCGGTGCACGGCGCGGCAGCGGACACTGCCACGCGTCGGCGCGGCCAGTGGCGCAGCGGCGAGGCACGAAGCGGTATGGCCAGGACCAGTATGCGTGGCTCTCGGCCCAGCGAGCGGGGTCCGAGCAGATGGGGTCGGAGGATCGCGCCGCATCGCCGATGCATCGGCGATGCGGCTCGATGTGGAGCCCGAGCTTTTCCACGCCAGCGTCGCCGACGCACCGCCGACGTCGCTGATGCATCGTCGATGCATCGTCGCCGCGGCGCGATCTTCCGACCCCTTTACTCGGACCCCATTTGGGTCGTGTCATTGGGTGGCCCGCGAACCTGGCGCCTGCGCCTGCGCGACGCTACGGCGCCGTAGCCAGGCGCCTGCGCCTGCGCAGCGCCACGGTGCCGCACACCGCTTCTTGAACTTTCATGCCGAGTGCGCGCCGTGCGCTCGCATCCGAGGCGGGGAGGTGTCCACAACCACAGCCTGGGGGACCGCTCTTCGGGGACCTCCGCACGCGGCGCATACGTGTATCTATATCTATCTATCTATCTATCTATCTATCTATCTATCTATCTATCTATCTATCTATCTATATATCTATATGTATCTATATATATATATGTATGTGGATACGCATACCTGTATATATATATATACATGTTGACCAATATATATAATGTACAGACATATGTAGATGTATACGTATATACATCTGTATATCTATATATATATATATAGATATGTTTGTGTCTATATATATATATGTATATATATGGGCACCGGTGGAGGGGGGGCAAGTGCATCGGTTACATGTTCCCCGCTCGCCGAGGCCCCCGCAGGACGATCCCCCAGGCGGTGGTCATGGATGCCTCCCCGCCTCGCGCGCTCCCAGGGCGGGCCGCGCGGCCAGCCCGGAATTCAGACCTGTGCTCTCCAGCCAACCCTGCGCGGGCAAAAGGCCGACCGGCCTCGCCGATGGGCGACGCGGCGGCACCTGTGGCCCGCTGCTGGCAACAAAAAGAGAGGGCGACCGCGCGCGCGGGGCCCAGGCCGGCTGGAAGGTGGTGGAGGGGGAGGAGGAGGAGGAGGAGGAGGAGGAGGAGGAGGAGGAGGAGGAGGAGGAGGAGGAGGAGGAGGAGGAGGAGGAGAGGAGGAAGAGGAGGAGGTGGTGGTGGGCGCCGTCTGAGTGTCGTCAGCCGCGGGGACTAACGACAACAGGCTATATAATATGGAGCCCCAACCGCTGTACTGCAACCGAGCTTCCGTGAGAGGCTCACACGTGCAGCAAACGGCAGGGGAAGGGCCCCCCTGGGAACACCCACTGCGCACCTGGGGCATGCTCTGCAGAGGCCCAACCACGAGGCGGCAGTGGGGCCCAGGAGGGCCAGCCCTCTCACTTTGACTTCTGCATGCGAACCAACTCGACGTAGGTCCGCAGGTGGTCGAGCTCAAGGGCCATGAGGGCGGCGTCCACGGGCCTGGAGTACAGCGTCGCGAGCTCTGCGACCAGCGCCGCGCGCTCGGCAGACGCGCCCTCGTCCGCGGGAGGCGCAAACGCGCCTGCAGGGCCAGCTGCGGCCGCAGCAGGCACCGAGGCAGCCGCGGGCGCCCCAGGGGGCACTGCCGTCGCGCCAGGCGCCACATCTCCAGTCGCGCCAGCCCTGGCCACTGCGGCCTTCTGCCTGCCGCGCCGCCGCGAACCGCGGCGTGGCGGGACATCGGCCCAGCTGTCGTCGAAGTCGTCCACGACGTCCATCTCAGCAGCGGCCTCGCCGCGCTCCAGAGCCAGCAGCCCCTCGCGCGCGGCCGCCTCCGAGCCGGCGTCGTCGTCGTCGAGGTCGAGGTCGGCGCCTTCGCAGCAGCCTCGGAAGCGCGCGGGCCAGCGCCCCGCTCGGCCGCCCGCCGCGCCGTGAGGCGCTGGCGGCGGCGGCGGCGCGCCTGCTTCGCCTCCGAGACGGCGCGTGGCGCCTCAGGTCGCCCCGCAGCCGCGTCCCCAGCAGCGGCAGGCGCAGCCAACGGCGCCGCCAGGGCAGAGGCGGCAGCCGCAATGGCCGCGCGCGCCACCGCCGCGGCGGTGCGGCGCGGAGCGCGGATCGCGGCGCCAACCGCGGCCTCCATGAGGAGGGCGGCGTCGGCAGCCGCGAGAGGGCTCCTTCTAGCCCCACGCGCAGCGGCAGCCATCCCGAGACGGCGCGCGCGGCGAGGGCATGCGATCGTTGGAGCCCGATCTTGGAGGAGGAGGAGGAGGAGGAGGAGGAGGAGGAGAAGGGGGAGGAGGAGGAGGAGGAGGAGGAGGAGGAGGAGGAGGAGGAGGGAGAAGTGAGGGCGCCCATGCTCTGCCTTCAAGGACAACGTCAGGCGGGGACAGGCTAAGGAGGGGATGTGTCGACCCCCATCCTTATGCGGGCAGCGAGAGGAACTGCGTGCATTGAGAGGTCGAACCTGCTTCCCACCCCCCCAAAAAAAGCTGCGTGCATTGGGCAGTCGAACCTGCTTATTTGGGTGGGAATCAGGTTCGATGCATGCAGTGCGTCCTGGACTCTCCTTGGAAAGGGCGCCACAAGGTCGAGTCGCACTGGATATGGACAACGATTCAGCAGGTAAATAGAGACACACAGACATCATTCATCGTCGACTCCCAGGAGATATGGGAAAATATCGGAAGTGGGGGGGAAGAAAAGATGGGAAATATGGGGAATCCGGTTATTTGTGTCTATTTATTTGTGTGTCCCAGGGCCCCTTCAATATGGACAAAGAGACCGCTCGGAGGCCTCTTGGGGGCCCTCGGGTGCCTCTCGGGGCCCTCTTGGGGCCCTCTTGGGGCCCTCTTGAGGCTCTCTTGGGGCTCTCTTGGGGCTCTCTTGGGAGCCCTGGTGCGCCTCTTTGGGCCATCTTCGAAGCTATCGATCAGAGGAGGGCTTCACCCGATCGACGCCCCACCATCGGTGGCCACGATCCTCATGAGGGTTGTCAGAAATTTGCCCTCCCAGGGGCCGATTTTGGACGCTCCAACGCCTCGCGGCCCCTCCCGTCCAGGTCCAGGGGAGGGGGTAGAGGGAGGCGTAAACCCCTCCCCGAAGGGGAAGAAAGGTTTTTTTTTTGAAGAGGGAAGACAGTCATCGTTAGACCACCTGCGCCCAGAGGGCTGGTTGGATTATTGTTGATCCCCCCCTCCGGTAACCATTGTTTTTTTTTTCCCCCGGGCACGCATCCTGCTTTGTATCATGGGGAGTCATTAAACTCAAATTGCGTTGTTGGCCCCCAGATTACAACAACAACAACAACAAAAACGGCTTCCGCTTGAATTTCCTTCAATTCAGCCAGGACTCCCGCTCCCGCCTGAGACTTCTTCGCGTTTTACTCGGGAACCGCGCTCTCGCTTGGGACTTCGCCTACAATATATGCAGGAATTGCTTTTTTCGGCGCTCTGGAGTGGCGCTCTCGCTGGAGACTTGCTTGCAATTTACTCAACACTCGCGCTCCTGCGTCGGAATTTCCAGCAATTTACTCAAGCGCCGCGCTCCCGACACTCAGGCACCCAGCAGTCGCGCTTACGCTCAGCACTCCCTCACAGCTTATTCGTGACCCCGTTGCAGCTCTTCGTGGCCCCCTCGCTGCCCTTCGTGGCCCCGTCGCTGCCTTTCGTGGCCCCCTTGCTGCCCTTCGTGGCCTCCGTTGCAGCCCTTCGTGGCCCCCTCGCTGCCCTTCGTGGCCCCGTTGCAGCCCTTCGTGGCCCCCTCGTTGCCCTTCGTGGCCCCGTTGCAGCCCTTCGTGGCCCCCTCGTTGCCCTTCGTGGCCTCGTTTCAACCCCGCCTGGCCCCCTCGCTGCCCTTCATGGCCCCGTTGCAGCCCTTCGTGGCACCCTCGCTGCCCTTCGTGGCCCCGTTGCAGCCCTTCGTGGCCCCCTCGCTGCTCTTCGTTGCCCCGTTGCAGCCCTTCGTGGCCCCCTCGTTGCCCTTCGTGGCCCCATGTATGTATACCCTTCGTGGCCCCCGCTCGTTCGCGCCCGTCGTGACCCCATATGTATGCCCTTCGTGGCCCCGCTGTCGCCCTTCGTGGTCCCCTCGCTGCCTTTCGTGGCCCAGTTGCGGCCCTCAGGGGCCCCGTCCTTGCCCTCCGCGGCCCAATATATGTATGCCATTCGTGGCCCCCGCTCGTTCGCGCCCGCCGTGGCCCCATGTTCATGCCCTTCGTGGCCGCGCTGTCGCCCTTCGTGGCCCCCTCGCTGTCCTACGTGGCCCCGTTGCGGCCTTCAGTGGCCCCGTCCTTGCCCTCCGCGGCCCCATGTACGTATGCCCTTCGCGTGGCCCCCGCTCGTTCGCGCTCTTCGTGGCCCCATACGCATTCCCTTTGTGTCCCCGCTGTCGCCCTTCGTGGCCTGCTTCGTGCCCTTCGTGGCTCTGCTGTCGTTCTCTCTCTCGCTCTCGCTTTCGCTCGTCGTCGTCGACGTCGTCGTCGCCGTCGTCGTCGTCGTCGTCGTCGTCGACGACGTCGTCGTCGTCGACGTCGTCGACGTCGTCGGTCCCCTGTCCGTCCTCCTTGGGGTCGGGTTGCCACCGATCAGCGCTGCCGCTGGCCAGGCCGACGGTCCGCGGCCGCCCCGCCGTTTGCCGGGGTTCGGCCTGCAAGGAAAAATGGTATACCCCCCAAAAGGGGTACGATCGAAGACGAGGAGGGCGGGTGTCGAGGGTTTGGGAAATACGCGTAGACGGAGACTCTAGCAGATAAGAGCGAACAGTATTAACACGATTCTTGTTATGGTTGTTGTTGCTGCTGCTGTTGTTGTTGTGGATGTTGCTGCTGCTGCTGTTGTTGCTGTTGTAGTAGATTTACTATTGAATAATAAGTATTGTTGATCCCCCTCCTTCCGGTGCACATTGTATTTTTCAATTTAAGTGCCCTCCTGGCGCTCGTACCCCGGTTTTTATCAGGGAGAATCTTCATCCTCAAATTGTGCGCCTGGTCCCCGGGTTTCAACAGCAGCGGCTCCCGCCTGAGACGTCCTCACAAGTTAGTCAGCACCCCCGCTCCTGCCTGAGACTTCCTCTCATTTGATGCAGGAATCTTGCTCTCGCTTGGGACTTCCTTCAGGATTTATTCAGGACTCGCTCTCTCGGCGCTCTGGAGTCGCGCTCTCGCTGGAGACCTGCTTGCAATTTGCTCGAGAGTCGCGTTGGAATTTCATGATTTTGTTCAAGCGCCGCGCTCCCGACATTCAGGCACCCAGGAGTCGCGCTCTCGCTCAGGACTCCTTCGCAAATGATTTAGGAAACGGGATCTTGCTGCACTTCGTGGCCCCGTTGCCGCCTTTCGTGGCCCCGTCGCTGCCCTTGGTGGACCCGTTGCAGCCCTTCGTGGCCCCCTCGCTGCCCTTCGTGGCCCCGTTGCAGCCCTTCGTTGCCCCTCGCTGCCCTTCGTGGCCCCGGTGCAGCCCTTCGTGGCCCCGTTGCAGCCCTTCGTGGCCCCGGTGCAGCCCTTCGTGGCCCCGTTGCAGCCCTTCGTGGCCCCGTTGCAGCCCTTCATGGCCCCGTTGCAGCCCTTCGTGGCCCCGTCGGGGCCCTTCGTGGCCCCGTTGCAGCCCTTCGTGGCCCCGTTGCTACCCTCAGTGGCCCCGTTGCAGCCTTTCATGGCCCTCTTGCAGCCCTTCGTGGCCCCGTTGCAGCCCTTCGTGGCCCTGTTGCATCCCTTCGTGGCCCTCTCGCTGCCCTCCGCGGCCCAACATACGTATGCCCTCTGTGCCCCCCGCTCGTTCGCGCCCGTCGTGGCCCCATATGCATGCCCTTCATTGCACCGCTGTCGCCCTTCGTGGTCCCCTCGATGCCCTTCGTGGCCCCGTTGCGGCCTTCAGTGGCCCCGTTGCAGCCCTCCGCGGCCCCATATACATATGCCCTTCGTGGCCCCCGCTCGTTCGCGACGTCGTGGCCCAATGTGCATGCCCTTCGTGGCCCCGCTGTCGCCTTTCGTGGCCCCCTCGCTGTCCTACGTGGGTGGCCCAGTTACTACCCTCAGTGGCCCCGTCGTTGTCTTCTGTGGCCCCGCATTATCTGCCCTTCGCGCCCCCCGCTCGTTCGCGCTCTTCGTGGCCCCATACGCATTCCCTTTGTGTCCCCGCTGTCGCCCCTCGTGGCCTACTTCGTGCCCTTCGTGGCCCTGCTGTCATTCTCTCTCTCGCTCTCGCTTTCGCTCGTCGCCGTCGTCGTCGCCGTCGTCGTCGTCGTCGACGTCGTCGTCGACGTCGTCGTCGTCGTGGTCGGTCCCCCGTCCGTCCCTCGTGGGGTCGGGCTGCCACCGATCAGCACTGCCGCTGGCCAGGCCGACGGTTCGCGGCCGCCCCGCCGCTTGCCAGGGCCCAGCTTGCATGGAAGAGACGTATACCCCCCAAAAGGGGTACGATCAAAGACGAAGAGGGCGGGCGGGTATCGAGGGTTTGAGAAATACGCGTAGACGGAGGCTCGAGCAGATACGAGCGAACAGTTTTAACATGATTGTTATTGTTGTTGCTGTTGATGCTTGTTGTGTTGGTGTCGTTGTTGCTGCTGTGTTTGTTGTTGCTGTTGTTGTTGGTGGTGGTGTTGGTGCTGTTGCTGTTGTTGTTGCTATTGGCGTTGTTGTTGTCGTTGTTGTTGGTGGTGGTTTTGTTGGTATTGGTGTTGTTGCTGTTGTTGTTGATCATAATGTTGTTGTTGTTGTTGTTGTTGTTGTTGTTGTTGTTGTTGTGGTTGTTGCTGTTGTTGTTGTCGTTGTTGTTGTTGTTGGTGTTGGTGTTGTTGTTGGTGGTGTTGGTGTTGGTGTTTTTGTTGGTGTTGGTGTTGATGTTGGCGTTGGTGTTGGTGTTGGTGTTGTTGGTGGTGTTGCGGTTGGTGTTGTTGTTGTTGGTGTTGTCGTTGTCGTTGTTGTTGTTGCTGTTGCTGTTGCTGTTGCTGTTGTTGTTGTTGTTGTCGTTGTTGCTGTTGTTGCTGTTGTTGTTGTTGGTGCTGCTGCGGTTGTTGTTGCTGTTGCTGTTGTTGTTGTTGTTGGTGGTGGTGGTGTTGTTGTTGTTGTTGTTGGTGTTGTTGTTGTTGTTATTGTTGCTGTTGCTGTTGTTGTTGTTGTTGTTGTTGTTGTTGTTGTTGTTGTTG